CCGTCTGAGGATGAAATGCTGTGCTCAACTCTACCTGTGAACCCAACTCTCGCTGAAATGTTCTCCAGAACTGAGAAGTAAACTGGGTACCTCTATCTGATATAATAGAAACTGGGACCCCATGCAACCGCACAATCTCTCGGATNNNGCAGAAGCGGAAACACCAGATGACAGAAAAATCTGACCTGCAATTACACCTCAAAACTCTCGTTTAACCACCCGAATTCACCCCGAGGCCCTCGGAACCTCAACCAAATGCACGGATATGTTCTATTACTTCATTCAAACTTGCTCGTAACATAAAAACACTATCATAAACACCAAAATCATCGAATTACCACGGATTCAAGCCTAAGTTAAGCTAAAACTTCCGAAACTTGCATTTGATCTAAAACCCGACCTAAACACCTCCGAATGATCTGAAACTTTGCACGCATATTTAAAATCACCTAACGGAGCTACTGCAACTCTCGGAATTCCATTCCGACCCTCGGATCAAAATTTCACCTACCATCCGGAATTCGCCAAAATCCAACCTTAGCCAATTCAAGCCTAATTCTACACCGGACCTCCAAATTCAATTCCGATTGCGCTCCTAAGTCACAAATCATCCCCCGAAACTAGTAGAATCATCGGAAATCCATTCCGAGCCTTCTAACTCATAAGTCAACATTCGGTTGACTTTTCCAAACTAACCTTCTCATAAAGAGACTTATTGTCTCATTTCTAACCGAACTCTATCCGAATTACTTCAAATTCTCCAAACACATATAATGAAACATATAGAAGCATAAAATGGGGAAAACGGGGCGGAAACTCCCGTAACGACGGGTCGGGTCGTTACAGCTATGGTCAAGGTCGAGCACTCAATTCGGCCCGAATGGCTAGTTCAACACTTAGACATTTTAGAGGAATATTCTACGGGATATTCTAAGAACTTAGGTATTTCAGTTAAGGACCGCTGGGTAAGGGAAGTGTTTTGTATAAATATCATAGTAGAGAGTAACAGAAGGGGGGCTGATAGGAAAACACACACAAACATATACATCTCTCCAAAGGTGAAGATGCTCCCTGATCTCAGGCTCCTCACCGAAAAAGGAGAAAAGAGCTTGCAATCTCGGTATTCATCTGTAATTCAACTTTATCAAATGTACGGAGGTCGGTCTTGTTCAAGAATTGTGACTCTTTTCATTTATGTATTCTTCATCATCATTTGATATTATTGGAGCAGTCATCCTTTTCTTACATTATGAAATTCAATCGCAACTGTAATCAAATTTTATGTTCAGCTATGCTTGTTTATTCCTATATTCTATCTCAGATCTAGAATAAATTGTCCATGGCTATGATTTGCCCCAAATCTTCTTATTTAATTAATTTAACAAAAAGGCCTAATACTTTTTAGTCAAACAATTTGGTGCCATCTGTGGGGAGTTCTAGTTAAAAAGTTTAGTTTCTTCTAGATCTAAAAAAAACACAACAAATGCCCCATTTTTCTTGTTTGCACAAGCTAACAATGGCAGGAAAAAGAGAGGAAAGACTGAAAGCAGTGATGGGTGTCACTACTAATGTCCAAGGCACCATCAAGGAGGTGGACAGGGAAGACGAGGAGAATGAGACGCCGAGCGCCTCACCGGGCAAAGTGATTCACCTCCTCCTCGTGGGAGTGTAACCGCTTCATGAGAAGGGAGCCTTCAAGTCAACGATGGAAGAAGCGCCGCCTGCAGTGAAAAAGTTATTGAATGCGTGGCTCACAAGTACCCTAAGCAGTATACTCGACAAACCCGCTCAGGGGGCTGATAGGAACACACACACAAATATATACATCTCTCCAAAGGTGAAGATGTTCCCTGATCTCAGGCTCCTCGCCGAAAAAGGAGAAAAGAGCTTAGAATCTCGGTATTCATCTGTAATTCAACTTTATCAAATGTACGGAGGTCGGTCTTATTCAAGAATGGTGACTCTTTTCATTTATGTATTCTTCATCATCATTTGATATTATTGGAGCAGTCATCCTTTTCTTATATATGAAATTCAATCGCAATTGTAATCAAATTTTATGTTCAGCTATGCTTGTTTATTCCTATCTTCTATCTCAGATCTAGAATAAATGGTCTCTGGCTAGGATTTGCCCCAAATCTTTTTATTTAATTAGTTTAACAAAAAGGCCTAGTACTTTTTAGTCAAACATGTACAATCTAGTCTTGGGAATTTGTTGTGATTATCACCATGTTTGCTTGTATCACCTTTATTTCCGCATTTATATAAAACTCTGCTTCCTAATATCTTGTTTTATTGGTTTAACTGTTGTAAGAGATTGACTTACCTAATTTTAGAGATTAGGTGCCATCACGATCCTTAAGGTGGGATTTTGGGCCGTGACACTGCTACCATCATCAAATAATTAAACTCACCACCATTTCTCACGATAGCTCAGCCAGTAATGTAGCAGAAACAATCGGTGTTGTAGTTGGGTAAAGAGACCATATAAAAGATAAATAAGCAAAATGCTTCCTTTCTGAAAAAATATATCTATAATTTACTATACAGATAATGGAGAACATGGTTTTTTAATAGTCACCACATAGTGGTTTTGAGGCTTTGGGAGATTCTGTCAATTGGGCACAGAAAGAAAGTGCTGGAAATCCATAAAACACGCACCTGCGAGGCTGTTTCATTTACAGATTTGACACATACCTGATTAGAATTAACACTTACCTAAAGCTTGCTCCCCTCCTTAATACCTAACATTGAGAGAACACACTTTTTGTGCTTATCCAGCTCACATGACTTTTTATTAGGTATTGGAAACTCATAGACTCAATTAATTCAAATTTGTATGGACTAGGACTTTATTGGCTCAACTAATTCATATTCGTTTCGAGTGGCCTAGGGATAAAACGCAATTTATATATAATCAAGAGGTTTTCTATTGCTAGATCTCGAACTTGAGATATTTCGTCAAGAATAAATGGATTTCAACCCTCCTACAAAGCATGGCAGGATTGTGCATGCTAGTAGTAGTAGTAGAGCTAGAAAAGTTAAAATCTTTTTGGCAATCTCCTCTCTGTTTTGTAGGCACTTGATTGCCTCCACCTCCCAGAGCTTTATCAGTCAAATTTTTGCAATCGTCTTTTACTCCCTTTAGATTGGCTATCACTTAGTTCCATGAAATAATATGATAAAAACTATAGTTAGTATTGCAAGGATGATAAAAGGTTAGTGAATGTTCCTTGTTTAATAAATTTCACTTATGGAAGAATGCCTAACACTAAGGATAGAAATTTTGAAAGGAGAACTAAGCTAGCGTTTGGTTATAGATTCCAAATTTATTTTGAAAAATCTGATTTGGGTGAAGTTTGGTTTGAAGATGAAAATGTGTTTGGACATATGTTTTCAAAATATATTTTCCAACTTTATTTTGGAAAAACATGTATATAATTCCTAAGTTTTGGGATTTTGGCCCAAAAGCTGATTTTGGGATTTGAGATTTGAGATTTGCGATTTGGCCAAAATATGGGCAAATGTATGGCCAAAGATGAGTTTTGAAAATAAATCCAAAATTTATTTTGGCAAAATTCATGGCCAAACAGGACCAAAGATTAAGCTAAAGTAAGGGATACTTTTTCCAGTATTCCATCCCTAGCTAGCACTTCAGTTAGCAATCAACATATTAACTGACCAAAAGCACTGAAAGGACAAGACAGACCACCACCAGAGCAACATTTTATTAGTCACATATCGGGCAACCTTGACAGGTACTGAACCTATGCTTCTTATAATTAAGTCTTTTTATCATGAAATGAAATGAAACGAAACGTCATAAATAGAAGCTCATATACCAATAAAATATATAAGGTTTTTCTTTTTGTTGACCATTAGGGTTAATTATACGTAAAATGTATCATAGGCGGCCGTCGTGAATAAGGATGATTTTTTTTTTTCGATGATTATTTCTCCTAGAAGTTTAAAATAAAAGTGCAGCAAAGATCATTTATGTGAAACAAACATGCAACTTAGTACTTACTCACATTCAGTGTTTAAACCAATCTGCATTAATTTATCACTATTAAATTATGAATTCAGGTAGTTATACACTACTTAACTATGGTTAAGTGAAAGAAGTATATGTCTGTCCTTTCTTATCTTGACCAATAATGTAACACCGCAGACTTTAGACAGAGTTCCACATCAACAAAACATAAGATGGATGCTGGGTATATAAGTTCACAAGCCTTAAACCCTGGCGACGCGTTTTAAAACCGTAAGGGCCTAGGCCCAGAGCGGACAATATCACTAGCGGGCTGGGTAGTTACAGATGGTACCCTAGACTTTAGACAGAGTCCCACATCGCAAAACACAAGAGGGATGCTGGGTATATAAATTAATAAGCATTAAACCCTAATGACGCCTTTTAAAACCGTGATGGCCTAGACCCAAAGCGAACAATATCACTAGCGGGCTGGGCTGTTACAAATAAGCCCAGGCCTTTTCAGCAACATCGCTTCTCTAACTGATTTCTTTAGTGTCGGCCACAGGTATAGAAACATTTTTAGCTTGGGGCAAACTGCTAGTTAAAAAGAAGTGCTTGTTATGCAATACTTCACGAACTCCTTATGCATAATACATTAGTTTTTACATTATTAGGTAAGAAATTTGAAACTAACGAAAGCAAGCAACAACATATAAGCCTAAAAAGTCCTTGCACAAAACTTGAAAAATCAGACCATATAATGTCTTGTCGAATTGAGCACCACATCTTTTCTCCCCAAACATGTAATTATCATACAAAATATCGTTCACTCTTAACAATCAACCATGCAAATCATTACAAACATTCTCACTTTCACTTATATAAACACGACTAAAATGGAACATCAAACAAAAGAAAAAGAAACAAACCTTCCCTTGGTTCCTAAACAACCTCACTTCTATAAAAACATCCCCAAGGGCATCTTACATGTTCCAACCGTATACCAGTGCAAAGAAGTTAAACTTACTTTTTTAAGTCGGAAAGGAACAGTCACAAGCAACTTCAGTTTCCACTTCCCGTCGATGAAAATTACGGTGGCAGCCACAGGCTGCACAAATAAGGGCGCCGGGAGTTTCTTCCTCGCCACATGGCATGAACTCCCGACACCCATCAACCGCGTATCCGCCAACACTTGCTGCATGATTTTTTTGGCACTCTCTATATCTCACTGTCCTAATAGTAAATGATGAATTTGTTGAATCGTCGCCTGAAAAGTCATCCTTCATCAAAATCACTTGACGTTTTGTCATCTCTTTAGTTTGAAAAGAGAGATGGCAGATGTACGGCAGAAATTTCTCAGTTAGCTACAGTATGTCGTAATTATTTTCCATTGGAAAACCCTAACCCTAGAAGGCATATTTATATAGCAAGCTTAGTGTTAGTACAAGCTTCTTTTTTGCTTTGGGTCGTGGCTTACTGTAGCAAGTAAACGTTGATGCATTCATTACTCATTTCTTTTGTCTCTTCAATGATATTAATATATATTTATTCGTGTCAATTGGGGTCTCTCTCCTAAGGTAAAGTCTAGAATAATCAGACTGAAGTGATTGCTCAACTTCCAATTACGTATCAAATTTGCTTTGCTTAAAAAGGATTGACCGCTCTATAATTTTTTAAATTAAACATATCATAAATCATTAATTAGCTGTGTTTCCATAATTAGGCATGTAATAGTGACTGATTTCTTATATAGCAACATGATAAGCTTGCTTTTATTTAGACTAAATGAATGTAGCTCCTAGAAGTGATAGGCAGCCTGCTCGAAAATATAGAACTGGTACTCCAATTTTTATTTTATTTTTTGTTTACAATATTGACATATTTCAGTGTTACTAGTCTCACTTTGCATGGACCTGTAATTACTATTCAGATGAACTGGTAATATGAAAAATCTTTTCCACTCAGACTATAAACTCATCTGGTAATTAGGATTTACTTGCACGAGAGTAATGTTAAGATCGTTGCCACAATAAAATAAGATGGTGAGTGCTCAACCAAAAAGTTTTAAGCCTTTTTTGTTAATCAATATAATAAATAGACAAAGGGTGAATCTAAGTTAAAAGTAATAAATCCGAGATCTGAAGTTCAACAACTAGGACGGTACGGAACCGTGTTCAAGTCAACGAATGCCAAGTTAATACATAATGATTGTTAATAATATGAGAATGAAAACATACAATAAATGTGACAAATGACATTAAATGTAACAAGAAGGAATTTGTCACTCAAATGTTGGATGAGGTGGATGGTTCCTTCTTCTGCTAAAGCGTGTGACAGCAGACAATGGGAATGAACAAAGTGTTCTTGGATCTTGTGAATAAGAGAGGAATGTTTTGTAATGGAATCAAACAGAGAAGACAAGACAAGCTTTTTTGTATATTCTTGATAGTCAACTCTTTAAAAGATGTTTTTATCAAAGTCTCGGATCCCCCTTTTGTTTCCTCTCTCTTCCTATTTGTAAGGGATATCCCTAAAAAAATTCTAAAGCAGTACAATTCGGGGGAATATTCAATGGAATATCCCATTCATAATCCTAGGAATATTCTAACAGTTGCAGCCGTTTGTTCTCTACTCGACCTCGGCATTGGTCTCTCTCTTTGATCGACTCCTCGGCACTGGACTGTGCTTGGTTTCGACCTCGACCTCAACTCGTCCGTATGCATTCGCTAAACTAGACCTAATTTTGACACATACAGTTTGTCCTTCCACTTATTGAGGTCGTCCTCTTCTCGATGAGGGGATTTTATCTAAATCTAATCACGAGATATTCCACCGTGGCGAACGAGCTGAATTGGTCAACGTCGTACTGATGACGGCTTGGCTCGAAGGTTGTGGTTTGCATGGCTAACATAGGATGACGTCGTGAACACGCGCATCATCGTTGCATCTTCCTGATGCAATGCACAGTTCCCAGTGTCTCTGTTGCTTCGATCTTAGTGTCATGATAGTTTCTTGCATCGATTTGGGCTCTAAAATACCTTATAAATAGGGGAAGGGAGATTCAAAACTGAAACTTTTATCACTTCATATTCCTTTGGCACTTTGCTTGTTCTTCTGCTTCTTCTCTAACCCTTGCTTCTGATTTTTTCCATTCTAGCTTATGGTTTTTTTCCCGTTGATACCCTTCTTCCGGCTCTACTGTATACATGTTACTGCAGAAATGACAAAGTCCCCTCACGCTTCTGACATAGTTTCTGATGCCACCCCTTTGTCGGTAGACATGCCTTCCGGTAGCGGTGAACTCACGACTGCAGAAGACAAAAGTTTTCCCACCGTGGAGGAGATTGTTCCTGAGCCGGTACTATCAGTCATGGGGTCGAAACAAATATCTGACCTGTGATCGAAATTCCGTATTCCCGCTCACATTGATATTGTTCCGACGGGGAACAATGTGATACAAGTTCACTGGCCTGGGTAGTGCGCTTTTTACGCCTACCCATTTTTGGTGGGTTACTCTCTTCCTCTTCCCCCTCCAGCTGAGGAATTCTGCCGCTTTTATGGCGTCTGCCTGGCATAGATTTCCCATTACCTGTATGAAGTCTTTTTGATGCTGGCAAAGTTCGCAGAGTTGGCTGGTTGCAATGTCTCCATCTGTCATCTGTTGCACCTCTTCTCGTCTAGTTCTACCGAGGCACGCTGATTCATCTCTGCCACCATGGGACCAGAGGATTGGTGACGTGGATGGATGACAAGGCAAACAACCGGTTCTGGTGCAATTACTTCTTCGTCAGAACGGAGCACGTAGTAGCGGACCCAGCCGGGTTCCTCGAGTAGTGGAACTTCAACTGTAAGGGTCTATTACCATATCATATATTTTGTTTATCCCCCCTCTTTCTGTTTTTGACTTGCTCATGTCTTTCTACTTTCAGCTGGTAGGCGTCCACCTTCTTTTGTCCTTGATATCAAAGACTGGGTAACTCGCGTCTTACCTCATACTGTGGGAATTCGTGACTGGGCGTCCATTAACAAGCGGTTCGGGCCCAAGCCTTTGACTAGTAAGTCTGATTCTCATTTCCACGACTCTTCATTTTCGTTATAACTTACCACCGTCATGTCATATATATATTTTCTTTTACGTGATTTTCTTTTTGTCCCAGGTCGGCATGCTTCCAAGAAGGCGAAAGCTCCGGTGCTTGCATTCCGCTAGGCGGTTGCCTCGGCTGGAATGCAATTCGTACTGGCTGAGTCTGTACGAGAGGGTCAAATTCTAGCTCCGCCGTTAGGCAATTCCACCCCACAGGTAGCCGTGACATCGTCTGAGACCTATGATCACCGCGTCCTACACCTAATTTATGAGTCGTCTCATGACGAGGAGGAGGCGGTACCAAGGAAAAGGCAGAGGGTGGAGACCGGAAGGGTCGATGCTGCTGATACCAAGTCAAAAAAGCCCATTGTTTTGGATGCAGAGGCGGCGCCCTTACATGACATTGAGGCTACTCCCACACCAGCTATCGTCATGGAGGAGATGCTGTCAGAGGTTGGAGGGACCTACGGCAGAGGGAACCTGCACGAATAGCGGGGGTCGGCTCACCATCAGCGGGGGGAATGAATAGAACCGTCTTTGTAGAAGATGATGGGCCGGCTCCGATGTCGACCTTGAGGAGGTGCGGGCTTTTGAGAAGAGGTTCACCCGATTGGATACAAGGACGGAGGGGCCTGATTGGCACATAGTCATCCCGTAATTTATGACCTTTTGGCCAACTCGAAACGGGCGGTGCCGGCCCTCGCCCTTTGTGAGTGGATTCTGAGAGCAGGACGCTGCAGGCGCTAAAGGATGTGGATTTTTCGTTCGGTATATCTGGCATGGACATGCGAGTAAGTTTGCTTTTCCATGTTAGGTTAGTTTATTTCGTATGTGTAAATTAATTCCGTTGACCTGTCTTCTTTTGCGTGTCAGACTCTCATCGTGTAGATTGAGCGTGATCGGCGGGAAGAACGAAGGACGACACTCTTCAAGAAGATGGTATCCATGTATAGAGAGTATCGTGCTAAGCACCAAACGCTAATCGATTTACGATGCCAGGACGGCCAGTTTCAGACGCTTCGCGACGGGCTCAAGTAGAAGGATGAGGAGTTAAAGGAGAAGATGAGGAGCTTATAAGGGCCATCGGCAGATGCAGCGTGCTTGAGTAGGCGCTGAGGGCTAAGGAGGATGAGCTTGAGGTGAGCAAGGGAGTGATGGCCGAGAACACTAACCTTCAGGCGCAGGTGGCATCTTTAAGGATTGAGCTCGAGCAAAGCGAATCAAGGGTCATCCATTTGAGGGGTGAGCTGAGCACCGGGGTCGAAGAGTTAGGCTGAGCTGAGAAAGCAAGAATGGCTGCTGTGGCAAAGGCGGTAGCCTTAGGGGGCACCCTCCGTATTTGCAGGTCTGAGCGAGCTACGGAGGCGAAAACTTCGGCGCTCAAGGAGGCAAGGTTTGAGGAGCGGTTGGGGTTTGGAGGCAGAGCTGTCTGAGTTGAATTAGCAGGTTATCGCCCTAAGGGCCGAGAAGGCGCAACAGCAGGCCCAACCGTCTACTTCTCATACTTCTACCGCTCCCGATGTGTCACAGGAGTTGTATGAAATGTGGGTTCATGTTGAGGCCCAACTTGATATATACATGTCTGTAAAGATGGCTAGGAAGATTTTTGAGGCGGAATTTGAGGATGATTGTGTCAAGGCACGTGCAGCTCGTGACGCCTGTGGTTATGATCCCGGTACGCCCGGTGGGGACTATAATGAAGACACCTTAGATAGCCTTGCCTCCGACCCTTGGTACGATGATGAGTATGCCGGTGATGTTGGTGATCGGGGGGATGATGCAGCGTGAAGTCTTTGTACTTGGCTTTTGCTTTTGTTTTTTGCTATTTTTGTGGGGGCGTCTTTCCAGCCCTTTGTAAAAATGTATTGGAATGGATTGATTGAAATAGAATAGTTGTCTTTTGATGTGTATTTCTAGCTCTTCTTTATTTTTTCTTTCCAATGAGTGTTCTTTTGTGAGAAAGTCCCTGACTTTCGGTCGGTCGAATGTAAGTTGATTCGAACGAGGTCGAATGTAATTTAATTCGAGCGAGGTCGAAAGTAGACTTAGAAAATAATTCGAGTGAAATCGAATGTAGATTGATTTGAACGAGGTTGAATGATCGATTCGAACGAGGTTGAATGTAGATTGATTCGAACGAGGTCGAATATAGATTGATTCAAACGAGGTCGAATGTAGATCGATTCGAATGAGGTCGAATGTAGATAGATTAGAACGAGTTTGATTGTAGGTCGACTAGAATGAGGTCGAATGTAGATCGATTTAAACGGGGTCGAATGTAGATCGATTCGAACGAGGTCGAATGTAGGTTGATTTGAATGAGGTCGAATGTAGACTTTGAAAATAATTCGAGTGAAATCGAATGTATGTTTCCTTTGCGTTGGCGTGATGTGTAAATTTGGTGGAGTTGTGTAAGAATGTCATATACTGCTTTGTTTATTCATTGGAGAATATTAC